TGAATGGTTTCAGCTAGTAAAACCTGCAATATTAATAGATCCTTCATAAAAACTGTTAAGAATAAAGTCAAGTTACACAATCAGTTAAATAGTTTTCAAGAATGAGTCGAATAAACTTGATTAATATAAAAGACTTTAACAATTACGTTATGAACAGAATAAGAAAGTCTCCAAATTGAATGAGTTAATCAGAACAAAGAAGTGTTTCTGGTACAATTCATCTGTACTGTAAGAAATTTCTAGTTTTCATTTGGATACACTCTATACAAAAACCGATCATACTTTACTTATCATTGATCAATCCAAATGAAAATCTTGTCCTGAAGAATAATTGGCAGAGACGAAAAAGATTTATCTAGTAGGTATCATTATCAAGATTTGACTTGATAATTTCGAATAAATTAAACATTCGATAGATTGTTGCAAATAAATAAATGTATATTTGTAATATCCCAATGAGTTGAAAAATTAGATTTTCTGACGTTTCGTGACTCAGTGTAAGCCACTTCTTCAGAGGATATAGAAACGTGCATTAATTTTGATTCGGTTATATATTCTATGAAGAAGAGACTTATTTAAACTAATATTGATCATACATAAATATATTCCAAGCATCTTTGAAAAGAAACCTTCATTATTTATGTATGAAAGTGCAATTAACAAATAGGTAAGTAGTAATTTTATACTTGATGCAACTGAAAAATACCTCAGGACACAATTTCGATTGAAAAGCAGAAATTGAAATTTAAAAAACTAAATAACTAAATGTTGAGTATTATAGTAGTTTTGAGTAAAAATGAAGCATTCGCTATAACTTCAAATAATGATTTTGTGAACTATTTGTTTAAAACAAAATAAGTGAATTTCTTGTTGTAAATGAAAACAGTTATGTAATTGATTTCTGAAAAAAAATTGTGGTATTTGTATGAACTAATAATTCCTTTGTACTTGTTGAATGCTTGATTTCGAATTACAAATACAGTACATTCATTCGTGCTTATCTAATACTTCTTGATTCATTTGTGTTATTTCTGGGATTCCTAGTTTATACCATAAATGAAATACTTCTATTTATCATAAAAATGCAGTCAACACATTAGGGTACTTATACGGATGGATGCCGTTAGATGCCGGCTTAGTGGTGTAACGTTTAAGTGCTCGCGCGCGAGACTGATAGGTCCTAGGTTTGAATCTCGCGGGGAGTGAAATCGTGGATGCGCACTGCTGAGGAGTCCCATACTAGGACGAAAAGGTCACTCAGTGGTACCAGGTTTTTCATAGTGGTCTAGCTTCGATTGACTCATGATTTCAACTACCTAAATTACTAAACTCTCCACAAACCCCCTTCTTATCGATTTATGATTAGCTTAAAATATTATTTAACCAAAGGGTACATACTCATACTAAGTGTTTTTAAAACAAGTAGATTAACTAGACTTTTAATAGTTTTACGGACTATTAATACAATAATATATATGAACCAATGGTTGTCTTTTTTTTACCTGTAAAGATAAGTTGTGATTGTTACTGTCGTGGCTCATAGTATGAACATTGGATAAGTACATTTTTGTTTATTTCCGGTAACATTTAGTTTTATCTTTAAAGTATAAATGAGTCAACCATTTAAAGAATAAATATAAAAAAACTATCTTTGCTTCATTTGATCATAAATTTCAAATTATTCAAGCATATTAAATGATAAACCTTAGTGACTCAATTTTCCATTTAACAGTTTGTTAAAATTTGGAATCATAGTTATTTCATTATTTTGAAAAGAACAAACTAATCTATAACGCATTATTTGTCTAGAATATAAGATCTGTTAAATGGTTTGAACATATTACAGAAAGAAAAAACCCCAAAAACACGAAGTTTAGCGAGGGGATCTCTTTTCAATGGATTTGTTATCAAGCTGTACAATCGTTAAAGTACTAATTCTGTGGTTCTACAAAGGTGAAAGGAAAGCAGTTAGGAGTTCTATACTTGAATACCTAATCGACTGTAACCATTCTACAGATCTGCAGTTTGATTTTAAGGTTGTATATATATATATATATATATATATATATATATATATATATATATATATATATATATATATATATATATATATATGATTCGTTCAAATCTATCTAAATTTCTTCGTATCCAACTCATAAAAATAGCCGAAGCTCTAAACATTCATAAGTTTAAACCAGAACTATGCGTACAAAAGAAGTACGTCTTATCGTTATCGTTACCTTGGCCTTAGTTAATATCATTATTAGTTTACTATTATCATTATTATTACTGCGTTTCCCTTTACTTATGTCTTATATTCTCTTTATTTTATTCATAAATACTCATCATATTGCCCTATTTATTTTTACACCTCTGTGACCTTTAATTATTGTGACAAAAACATGAGTCCTGGGTTCGAATCTCGCGGGGAGTGGGATCGTGGATGCGCACTGCTGAGGAGTCACATACTAGGACGAAAAGGTCGTTCAGTGGTACCAGGTTTTCCATAGTGGCCTAGCTTCAGTTGACTCATGATTTCAACTATTGACCTTTCTAAAATCTCCACGAAACCCCTTTCTGATAAAAACATTCTAATCATCTTACATCATTCGCGTTATAATTCGTTACTAACATATTCAGTCTATTGTTATTAATCGTATTACGTAATCTAGTATTATAATCTTTTTATTACGTCATCTTGGTTATTCGTGTTCACATTTCCTCATGGAATTAGTACTTTATAGAAAAACATTTTCATATATATGCGATGTACAGCTTGATGATAAATTCGTTGAAAAGAGATTCCTTCGCTGAACTTTGTGTTTTTAATTTTTATTCTTTAAATGGGAATTATCTGTCAATATTACAGAAAGTCTATTAATCATGGTAAACTAGAATGAATTATGAGAATAGGCTGAAAAAATATGATAAATGAAATATATAGATGTCCAAGGATTCATTTTATCCCATTGAGTAAATTTCGAATCTTTGAAACGTTTCACTGGATTCTACCTATTACTGAGATTGGATTAATAAATTACTTTATCGAATCGATGAAACCTTTTTTTTTAAAAAAACGTAATGGTTCATGAATTTTATAGTAATTCAACGCTTTCACAATCATGTTAATCGCTCAGTCAGCTGTAACTTTATGTACATCACTACCCAATTAGCACAAATCGATTAAAGTTTTAGGAGAATTCTCACAATTATAGACGTAGTAACAGTATTCACTGCAACTGGAAAGATTAGGCATTGGAAATTATATTCAAGAAAATATAAGTTAGTGAATTAAATAATAGATTGTGAGAAATGTAGAAGCTTAAATTCTGAGAGAAGAGAAAGAGGAGTTGATACACCTTTCTTATTTCAAACGATTTTGAGCCACTTGTTACAGTAATCATAAAGATACTAACCAGGTACTCTACACTTATTAATATGTCCATGACTTCGTGGATTACAGTAATCAATTATTTTAACTGTTTATTCGTTGGAAGAAATAAAACACAAATCTCATCTTGTACATTTTTAATCAAAACATATTACTAATCCAGAATCAATTCACTTTTTCTTTAACTCAATCAAGAAACTTTAAGAAGATTGTTCTTCTTCAATTATTTCCTCAGATTTATTTTCATGTTATGAATAAAATCATTTTCGTGTTTCATATAAAAATACATTGTTTTGATCAGTATAAGGTTGTGGAGATTGTTGAGTTTTTATTGAGAGCATGGATCGATCAATGCTAGGACACCAGTGACCATCATTTTTAAAACTATATACTGACAATTATTATGTGCTCACTAGTGACTTGCTTTGAGAGGTAACTCGTGGAGTTCTAGTGAGAAGCCGTGATCAATGGAGTTCAACCGTGTCGGTTGTGAGGTAGTTACTTATCAAAGGCAATGGAAGATGGTTGCGCAGTATCGTGGATTGGTTGAAGTTAGACATAAACACCGTTGGATCCTGGCTCAGTGGTCTAAAGGTTAAGGGTTCGTACGAGACTTTGGGTTTTCATTGTTGAGTAGTCTCACAATAGAACAAAACGACCGTCAGGTGTTTCCAGGTTTTCAATGGTCGTCTAGCATTGATCGGTTTATGTGCAGCGGATTAGTATTAAGATAATTCATTAGGTCCCGTATATCAATAGCCTAAAGGATTAACGAATTAAGGCATTCGTCTGGTATGCTTGCGAATGCTATTTTCCAACCAATACTCTAAGTAGGTCCTCGGATCACAGGGGTAAGAACCTGCAGTATTCAGTGTTTATCACGCAAAATTATCTGTAGGCATTATGTCATTACCATCTGGATTAAACCATCAGCTGGAAGGCTTGAATGACAGCTCCATAAAAAGGTAATGTAACTCAGTTTTTCTTTTAAAATACTAAAGCAGATAATACCCCACTTAAGGTAATCGTAATGACGAAAATCAAATGTTCGCTTAACAGACTACCGCTCACAAAAGGTGTATGATTTATAATTTGCTGCTAAAAGATTATGTTAAGTATGTGAAGTATGAGATCAATATTCAGCTATGATGTTTTTTAGTCATTTCTAGACTCACATGAATGGTTAGACGTTTGGATGATTTTTTGTGCTAAAAATTACCGAAATGCGTTGTGGTGCTAGCTTAGGACTTAGATTAGCATAGAGTTGAATTTTTTCAATGGGCAATACGAGTTTGATAGTTCCACATCAAATAATAGAGAACATTTAAAGTATTCAACAGATCTGTGTTATGCTGATATTGACGTTGACGTTAATTACTTCAACAATTTTGTTCAAACAGGTTTGTTTGACTACTACTACCACTACTATCAGCAGGTTTATTGACTGCTAATGCTTTCTCTGATTACTACTACATACTGTTAAAGATTTCTCAGAGTACTACTTGTATTGTAGATTATTAGTGTGACAGCACCAAAAACTCTGTCTTCTGTTAGTAAATAATCAATAAGATTATGAAGTTATTATGTTAACAATAAATCAAAGATAAATACTTTATAGTTATCATTTATTGTTATTCATAGAGGTATTAACTTGTCAGGACAACATCTACATATACGTATATATTAGCTTTATTGAAATGACAGGATAGTCAATTATTATTCACGATGATTATAATCACCAGTCACATATATCCTATAAACTTATGTGAATACATAGTTTTATGTTTACCCCAGTTCAATTACGTAATGGAATGAAAGTTGAAGATAGCTAATTCTAAAATAATATCTGTCTTATTTTGGTGATGAAATATTTGAATCTGTTACAATTTGTGGTGATGCTTTTAAGGAATTATCCACTTCTCCAGAAGGTGTTTCTATGGTATCAGGTAGCGTTGTACGAACAGCTGTATCATCAAGATTAGAAATATGATCATCACTGACAATTGATTTCTCATTGAAATCTGTTTCTTCATGTGAATGATTTTGTTGTGGTTCTTGATCTTCTTGTTGTCGATAGTGTTCTTGATGTTGATGATGATGATGATGATGATGATGATGATTAGGACTTGATTTATTTTTTGATGATTTTTTAACAGTTGAATTTTTAACACCATTGAATTTAACTTTTTCATGTAATTTTGTCAAATGAACTTTTTCATTTGCTAAAGCTAACCTCCTTATATTACTTATACAACCAGCACTGGCAGTTTGAAGTTCTGGATCCTTCAAAAAATAGAGAAAGTATTAAGTAAATAAATAAATTCGTTACATAATGACATTTTTTTAGAAGGATCTACTTTTAGGACAATAATTTGTGGACGAAGTCATCAAAATTGTAACTCATGAAAGTTTGCACAAAATTCATTCATCTCTATGGCTGAATAGGATTCTGACATTAAAATTGATGTCATTTTGTAATGAAAACCCGGACTCTAACTTCTAACTTTAACGTATGACATTAATTACCAATACTGACTCCTGAGAATAATTCATAACCTTATTTCAGATCTAATAAAAGGTCACTTTGGAATTGCTCTAGGTTCGTTCATAAATTATAGTCCCGCCAATCTATAAACTCAGAAATCGTATTTATAACAAACCATGGCTAGTTGGAGAGCCATTAAACAATATAGATAAAATGTAAATACTTTATGTATGTTTAAGAATGATAAAATATGTGCACACATGAGTTGGTAGACCAGTAAAACAAATGGATACGAATCATACAATAAGCATGGTACTATTCAACTATTTTAAGCAAAGATAAATAGTGGCTGGCAGTGGAATCCAGGACGAACGTTTCGTCCTATTTGTGACTCATCGACTGAATGTAGTTGCATCCCAGAGTTGACGCTTACTCCAGGATTCAAACTTCGTATCGTTCACTTCAAACACCAACGCATTCTGCACTTTGATACTGAGTGTAAGTAGCTGGTGGGTCACAAGTAGGACAAAACTCTACCCCTGGATTTCATTGTTAGCCACTATCTATCCCTGCATAAAATTTTTGTGACTTAATGGTAATAATGAGGCAGTCTGCATAGGATACACATATGCTAAAAGGAAACTGACCAATTATATACCTAAACAACAATGGGAAGGTTTAAACAATCAATATATAAAAAGTTTCTGTTTGAAAGTTTGCTGGATACAGATTCCACTTATCATCGAAGAAGTCAGCAGAGTTAAGTATTAAATACAATGTTTGGTTGTCGTAAATTGCCTGGTTTTCATGTTCGGCTTCATGAAATACTCGAGAAATTTTAACAGTGAATGACATAAAGTTTTGGATTATAATAAATGGAAAACATACTAATGTCATCGAAGATGTTTTAATACAAAGCCTGATTTATCCAGATTTTTGCTCAGAAAACAATCAACGCTTGACTAGAATTGATACTGACTATTGAAGGTCTATGATAACAGGACTAATGACAAGAAAATATAGGTGATCTCCCAAGAAAATCTATATTTGACATGTTTTGTCTTCCATAAGGAAAAGAACTCTATATCTCTATTATCTTGCTAGATTAAAGATGAGACTGTTGGTCACTTACTGAAGAGCCGACCATTTGTAATAAGTACTTTACCACATTGACTTGATGCATTGAAACACAATTATTTGGATCACGACTGAGTTGAAATAATGCTTTTGCAGTTGATCTATGAACATTTGGATCCGATGATTTAAGATAACGAACAATAGGTATAACAGCACCAGCACGGCCAAAATCAATGCGATTTGTTCCCCATGTACAGCACTTTGCTATAGCATCGGTTAGTGGACATCGAAGGCGATCATCTTTCTATTAGATTATTTTTTTAAAAAGACGATAAGAATATGTATGATGAGTTAGAAATGGTATCTGAACTGTTTAATGCAAAACTTTATCTACAGGATATGCTTACTACAGAGCAGTTAATTACATCTGACATATTTTATGCTGAAAAGATGTTTCGTGCAATAGACAATAAATTATATGTGAAAATTATATTAAAAATAATCTCAGCGATTGAAATTTTAATAGTTCCGACGTTTCGTCCATCAAAATTGACTGGACGTCTTCAGAGTAATCACAATCCAAGTGTAATTTTCACATATAGTGTCTTCTCTATACTTGGTGCTCAATCTCTATCAAACTGTTCATTATAATATTGACGAATATTCGTAAAAGTCAGTAAATTAGTTCTAATAAAAATTCAGGGAGTATTAACTACCAGGGAAATTGAAGACCGTTGTTTATTGTGATAGTTTGAGTGGCTACTAAAAGATAACAACAGTATTTTTACCTTGGTCCCTCGTCGAGTGCTAATTCTTTTGGTTAAATGTGGTTGACTTGAGAACAGGTAATTCAATTTTCACAAGATAAACCTCATTTATAAAAGCTTGGTCAATAATAAAAAAAGTATTTTTGTTATATCCCAATAAGTAGAAGAATTGTATTTATGAAGTTTCGTGACTTCATCTAAGCCTCTTCTTCAGAGTAAATAAATAACCGAATTAACTTAGCATCGATGCCGTCTAAGGAAACACGAAAAGCTCTTATAGGATGGGAATCTCATGGATCGAGGATCATCAAAGCAGTCCTCAAAGCAAATAAGGAAAGGATCACAATGAATATCAACCAGTGCTATGCACTTACATGCGAGGGTGGTGGAGACGATAAAGATCAGTCCGATGGAAAGCTGTAGTTCATCGTACAGAAATGTTCAGTAAAGGACCTAGTCATTAAGACAGAACTAAACGCCAAAGTCGGAATGGACAACACCAAGTATAAAGATATCATGAGGCGACATGGAGTGAAAGAAAAGCACGAGAATGGAGAAAGATTGTAAATTTGTATACCTTCAAAAAACGTATACATAAAACTACATGGGTTTTACCGGACCACACTATAGACAACCAAATCGATCACATTTGCATCAATGAAAAATTCGAAAGGTCCATGGAAGACGTAAGAACGAAGAGAGGAGGTGGTTTAGCTTCAGATCACCACTTGGTGGAGACCAAGGTGAAACTAAAGCTAAGGAAGCACTGGACAACAATAGAATTAACTTTACAAATGTTTAATGCAGTATTACTTCGAGATACTGACTAATTCAAGAAATTCAATATAGCTCTCAGCAACAAGTTCCAAGCATTTTCCGATCTACTCCAAGAAGAGAAAACCACTATGGATGAGAACTGGAAATGTACAAAAGAAGCAATAACTTCAACATGTCAGGAGATCCTTGGTCACAACAAGCACCAGCATAAAGAGTGGATTTTTATTGATACCCTGACCAAGATTGCTGAAGGGAAGAACACGGAAAAATACGCCTATAATCTAGCAACGACAGTTGAAGAAGCTAAAAGAGGAGAAAATATGAAGCAGATACATGATACAACGAAGAAAATGGCAGAGAAATATGGTAAACCAGAGTGATCATTTGAAAACAAAGAAGGAAGGGAAAACGCTTAAATTCATGGACTGTGAAACAAGTAGGCAGAACACTTTGAGGAACTCTTGAGTAGACCAGCCCCACGGAACCTACAAGGCATCAAAGCAACACACAAAGACCTTCCAATCATTATCAATTCACCAACTATTGAAGAAATTAGAAGTGTGGAAGTATGCCGGCTGATGCACTGAAGTTAGATATAGAAGAACCTGCAAACGTGTTCCATGCTCCTTTCAGGAAATTCTGAAAGGAGAAACGAGTAACGACAGACTGGAAAGAAGGATATCTCACCAAGATACCAGAGAAAGGAGATTTGAGAAAGTGTGGGAACTACAAAGGCATAGGTTGGATGCAACTAGATGAATTGGACCTCACAAATGACCTGACTATTCTATCCCATACACGCCAACAAATGCGGACGAAGGCAACTAGTTTAGCAGTAGCTTCTGCATCAACAGTCCACAACATACACAAAGGAAAAAGCGATATCCTCACACTCAACATGGAGAACACCAACTCAGTCACACTTGATGGAGAAGCTCTGGCAGAAGTGGAAACATTCATGTACATGAGCAGTTTCATCGATGAACAAGAAGGATCTGATGAAGATGTGAAGTCATTTTTTGGCAAAGAAAGTGCAGAGTTTCTACAGATGAAGAACATATGAAACTCAAAACAACTGTCAAACAATATCAAAGTGAGAATCTTCAATACGAACGTCAAGACAGTTCTACTGTACGGAGCTGAAACTTGGAGAACTACTACAACCTTCATCAAGAAGGTAAAAGTATTTCTAAACAGTTGTCTACGCAACATACTCAATGTCGACTGATCAGATTCCATCAGCAACAACCTACTGTGGGAGAGAACAAACCGACCTGCTGCTGAAGGGGAAGTTAAGACAAGACTTTGGAAGTGGATAGGACATATGTTTCAGAAATCATCAGAGTGAATCAACAGGCAAGGGCTAACTTTGAATCCTCCAGTTAAAAGAAAATGAGGAAAATGAATGATAAACAGAGGCAAAAATTGTAGCCAGACATATAAAGGAATAAACAGCGCTTGACAACAGCTGGAAGAAGAACCGAAGACAGAGTTGGTTGGAGGATCCCGGTCGAAGGCTTATGTTCCTTCTTGAGGGGTAACAAGCGTAAATAAAACAAAGTAGATCTTATAATCTAAGGCGTAAATAAGCCCTCATTGTTAAAATTGCGCGCTAATACGAGTAGTTCATAACTACTCTGTCTATGTTTATTCTGGTTATCCTCATCTATTATCTTTAAAAAAATAATTATGAAACATTTTATTACCGTGTGTGTCAAACGTGATAATAATGGGACTACACCATGATCAGTAATTACAGCTAGATTTTCTTCATCCTCTGCAATTTTTGAAACAGCGGCGCAAACAGCAGCTAAGACCTCCAAATCCTTTGAATTTAATAAACTGACAATTAATTCAAGTCCACCAACAAATGAACGTACTAGTTCACCAGCATCCTGTAGTAATAGTGATGAAGAATGACAAAAATTATTTAAAAGTTGTGTTTGATGAGTTGTTTTGAATATATATATATATATATATATATATATATATATATATATATATATATATATATATATAATGTCAGATTACAATTGACTGATCAGTGTCATATTTATAGTGCTGAAAGAACTTCATTAATGAAATAAGACTAGGATGACTGTAGGTGAGTCGACACCACGTGCATCATATTGAAATAGCAGGTGGTTTGAGGTAGCCAAATATGAACCGTAAACATAGGAAACTTATGAGCTCCGAAGGAATCAAATCTATGTCATTCATAGTTATACAATATACCCTTGTGGGTCAGGGCAATTTCAAATTGGTTTTCAGGAGAAACAGACACCATCCAGACTTTCATGTGACAACCTAAACAGTACAGCTAAATCTCGTTTAACAGGAGAACCAGATACCGTACAGGCTGAGTAGTAGAGCTCAATCCTGTGGCGCGACCACATAGGTACCAAGCACCCTGGTGGACCATTCGAACCATTCATATACACATTCACGTCACATGTATAGTTATTCCGATCAATGATCGCGTGTATCTGAACGAACAGGCCAAAGTTGACCTATTCCACTTACACGACAGTCAAACTCATTAATGTTAGCAATGGCGACATGCCTTAAAATGTTCCAATAACAATGGCCCTTGAGAACACTGAAAAGAAACCACCAGTATGAATGAAATCGGTTAACCAGCAAACCAATTTTGTGCATGAATAGTCAGCAAAACTTGCCAAAGCAGCGCCGAACCATCCACAATACCAATGGCGAACCTCAAGTCGCATATGAGACCTTCAGTTCTACATAGCCATATCATTCAGCTACACGGTAAAAGACGTTGTTATCGGGTTAATTAGGGTCTCATGAAGCATATATATATATATATATATATATATATATATATATATATATATATATATATAGCTTATCATGGACATTTATCAATATAATATTTTTGTAGTAAAAATACCCATATATCAAGTCTACCATAAAAGTTCCACTTGAGTGGAATGTATTTATCTTCTAATGTTCATCCTTGATAGAATAATGAATGCATATATATAAATAGTCCTATACTAGAACGAAACAAGTGTCTAGTGCATCTTGGTTTTCAATGAATGTTTAAATTATATATGTTCGTGATAAGAAAAAATAAACATTCACTGATCTTCATAAACCTCCGTACTGATAAGTAAAACCGTATAATATACTTTAACAGCTGGAAAACGGTAACTATTTTTGGTGGAGTTTTGTTCTCTGAGCTGGATGGTTCGGTCGTGGAGCTTTCATCGTTCTTCTGAACGACATCATCAGCACAAACTTCAGATAGAAGTGAAATGTTTGAATTTCTCCACATGTGTTTCACAGCTTGTTCTGTGCACCTCGATGTTGATTGGTTCTTGTTGACCTTAAATTTATCATTGTTTACTTCTTTGTTTTGGTTGTGTTTCCACCAAAATCATCCACCTGAGCTACAAATCTTCTCCACCATCTCAAAACGGTAACTATTATTTATTTATTCTATGGCTGATAATAGTTTGATGATTTAAGGAGAGTAGGGGAAGATCATAGTGAGCAGTAAATGCAAGATATTTTGTTTATTCTCTTCATTTAACTCCGGAAAAAAACAAAACAGCAAAGCCGATAACTTGACTATTTATTTGTATCACAAAATTAAAAGACACATGTTTGTTTCTGTTGTACATAAATCTATTTACAGTCTTCTTAGGATTATAGTTACAATACTAGGGATTTAGAACATGATTTAAGAAATAGATAGACAGAAGCTTTAGGAATGATGAAAAATTGAAACTATTGAAGTGAATCCATAGAAAAAGAGATAAGTTCAGAGACGATGACAAATTGATGACAAAAATTTAAGTATATCCTTTGGGTAGATTCGAAAATGAACTATTTATCATTGTTGATAATCTGATAACTTTTTGAAAGCTAAAACTGTTTTCGTAAAAGACTCATGATTTTAATGACTAAATTATTATAGTATCCACAAAAACCCTAGTGACTTGCTTCAATAGATATTTCTTGGAGTTCTGGTGAAAAGCAGTGACCAGTGAAGTTCAACCAGGTCTATTGTGAGATAGCAATGATGGACTTGTCGCTCAATTTTGTGGATTAACTGAAGTTAGACATTAACACCATTGGATGCTGGCTAAGTGGTCTAGATGTTAAGCGATCGCACACGAAACCGATGGGTCCTAGGATCGTGGATGCGCACTGCTGAGGAGTCACATACTAGGACAAAACAGTCGTCCAGTGGTATCAGGTTTTCCATGGTGGTCTAGCTTCAATTGACTCATGATCTTAACTACTAAAAGCATCAATTATTTATTTATTTTTAACCAATGCCAATATGAAGATTTATAAAAGTAGGTCTAATGAGTGATTACTTGTTTGTTTTCACTGTTTGAAGAAATCTGTATTCATAATGACTATTTTCTTGAGTTTCTATGTCATGAAAAACTAAAATTGTGTACATAACGTCAGGTTGTCATATGATTATGCGTTCAATTATTCACATTCCCTTCATTGGTTTTTTGTCTCGAACAAAAGTGAAAGATTTTATCTCAATTGTTTGAGAGTTTACTGGTAAAGTTTCTCTATGAAGATATCTCCTTAGTTATATAATGTAGCGGATGAATAATAAACTGCTATCAAAAAAAGACTCAAAAGTAGATTTGATTCGGTAGCCATTCATCAAGAGTTGTGTAGTACACAAATAGGGAACTCCACAAACATTCCCTAATGAAGTGTTAACAAAATATTCCATTTGATCATCAGTTGTATGACATGTGAGTAATCATTTGCACGTGGTGAAATGAAGGCGATACTAATCGTCCAACTAATATTATTGTATTCGATTGAATATATCTGTAGAATACTCATAAAAGTAACCGAATGGTTTTTATTCAAGTGTCTCCTGTGGGATTATAATCTACATCTTTTGAAAATACATCAGTATAAATTACACATGATGAATTTCGGACTAATCCAAGTTTATATTATTCACATGTTACAGTATATTCAGCCATGACCACGTTACGAAATACATTTTATTAAATGTGGTAATCTGTTGACCTATTGGAAACCAGGGAGATGTAATTCATTGGATTTGTTTTGGGGCAGTTGTTATAAAACTGGCAAATGTACTGAATGCAACAGCACTATGATACGAAAACAATTATCCATATCACATAAGAATTTTAAAGCTGACAAGGGTGTTATATTTTACAGTCGAGTAAATTCCTCATCAATCGGATTGTGATCAATTTTATTGTTCTTCAAAATTTGCGCGCTTTGTATCATACTGGCGGGATAGACACAGCAGTCACTAGCAGATTTAATATGGGACTTGACAGATGATACATAGCAATAAGTCGTTCTTATTCGGGGTAGAATATTCACTAACGTGTATTTTTGACAGCGTGTTCGCTTCTCCATAGTTTTCAGTTTAATGGTAATTAATTTTAAAGTCAAATTCCTGTAGAATTAGCTGTTCAAATTGCACAAGATTTTGTTTATCTTGGAATACTGCTAAGGTCAGCTGAGGATCTATTGTCATGGAAGCATCATACTGTACTTACTAATATTAAAAATGCATTATCAGTTTGGGTATATCCTGTCTGCTGAATTCAGAGCCCATGATACTTGCAATAAACCTTTAAATGTACCATGGAGGTAAAACTCACTTTCATTGATTGATTTAAGGAATGTGTTTCACCAATCAGATAATCAAACGTAGATAGCATAAGATGCTATGTAGGCAAGAAAGCTAAACAGCTACTAATGAGCCTAAAAATGACCTGAGTGGAAATAAATCTATGATGATCATTCGTCATATTCCATGAGTGTTTTCCCCATCATATTGGTTACAGTCCATATCAGAAAAAAATACATCAAAGATTTAAACGCGTCATGACCTGTCCTAGTGCAAAGCTTCAGTTTGTTCTGTGTAATCTTGGTCCTGTTGAGTTTCAGAGGTTTGTTCAATAAGTTACAACTATTAGAAAAGCGTATACTACAAGAATATTATTTATAATAATATTCATTGATTAACAGAAGATGATCGGAATTGTTTTTGAACCAAAACCCATCTAGTTATGTTCAAACATGCTAAAATATTCATAAGATTACGAATTTACAGCGTTTCAGAATTAATTTAACATTTGAGTATAAATTTGTTTTACATTTTGTGAATAGAATATTATAAAATGGAGAACAATAATAATAGCGTCATGGAAGTATGGCATACGATTCAATAGGGAAATAAATAATATATGTGTACTCAGAGCATCAATAGAAAAGTTATCAATACTGATAGCTAAACTCTTAACTAGAAGAAGTGACACCCTTGCATTTGATACTGAAATGTTAACCTTCAAGGAGTACTGGATCAGAATAAAAAAGTTAACTAGATTTTTACATTTTTTGAGTCTTTAATTTACTTTTAATTAGTAATAGAGAATATGCTTATCATATGGTTATAGGATAAGAAAAAAACAATTTAATTTTACGATTCTTAAAACATTGATAATAACAATACAAACCTTTGCATTTTGGATACATGGACATAAAGCCCAGGCAGCATAAGATTGTACTTTTGGATTAGGATTCTTTAACAATGACCAAAGTAAACGTACACCATCCAAATTTTCAATGATACTGTAGAAAGAAAAGAAAACTTATTTATATATAATCCTTAATAATAATAATAATGAAATGATATATGGTTACATTTCGTAGAGTTTATAATACAGTCAACTGCAAAACATTCTTTTATTAAGTCAATACAGTTTACACACAATTTATAGACTTATTTTGATATTATTATTGATCACACAAAAAATATCAACGGTAACATAGAAACAAGTTATTTATACTAATGGAATCCTTATCTAAATCTATACTGATATAAATTCTTTTAGGAACTTTGTAAATGTTCCAACAAAATACAACCCTCAACTAATTATGTAGTCTGTTACTAAGCATGGCAAACACTTCATATTACGTAATACAAACTTGTATGTTGATATGCATTAATTATTATTGATTGTGTACTGAATACATTTCATAAACCAGTTAGTCAAGTTGACAATGCATCTCATTAAGTTGAAAATCGGTAATTTGTATATTTGTAAAGATAAAACTATATCAACACTACGATGAATAAAATGTTGTCCAACGCTTTCAGTTTTTCAATAGTGGTCTAGCTAAGATTAATTAACGATTTGGACTTTGAAAAAAATCGTAAATAAATCTACTGCTTATAAAAATTGTATAGGTAGACAGTCATGATTTTATAGAACAGTCAATGTTTTAAAAATGTGCTCAGTAGTGACTAGCTTTGTGAAGGAATTCTTGAAGTTCTGGTGAGAAGCCATGATCATTGGAGCTAATCCATGTCAGTTAGAGACAGGTATCTATCTCAGACAATGGAAGATGGTCGTACAATTTTGTGAATTGGTTGAAGTTAGACATGAACATCGTTGGTTGTCGGCTCAGATGTCTGGGGATACGAGACTGAAATCCCCAATTTCGAATCCTCCTTGCGGGATCGTGAATGTACACTGCTAAGAGGTCCCATATTAGGATGGAACGTCCATCCAGTGCATTCAGGTTTTCAATTATGGTCTAACATCAGTCGATTCATGAATTCAATCAAACACTTTATAATCTCCACAATCGTATACTGATATTAGAAATTCATTTGTGGTATTTTTATTTCCAATATACTGGTGTATTGAGTAATGGTATGAATGGCTTTGAGATCTGTGTCGCTAGTTAGTGAACACAAAAGTATTATAAATAGTACAATGAAATTTAACTATGTACAGAATTCTTCAATAGATTGTAAATTTGTCAAGATTCGTAACAAATTTGATGAACGCATAAATAAAGGATATTTATAAACATGTTAGTTACAGGTGTTCGTTATCCATTAAATCATTGATTGAATGATTTTTCTGTCAATCAACTTGGAATAACCTTAAACAACATAATTTTATATTAACTAATCCTGGTAACATAAATGAAATCAGAAAGAAATTATCTTATGTGCATGTTTACACATACGTAATTTAACATCTATTTCAATACGTAACAAAGGACCCTTTCTTATTACCGTTAAATATTTTAGTTGGTCTGTCAAATAGTTTGTAACTATCTATGAAGGAAATGAGAGTTAGTAGTACGTTTTAAATTTTACTTGTCAAGAGCTAGAGATTAATGTCTCATTTTTAAATGATCTCACTTTACAACATAATTCCAATGATAAAAACCATAAATTATCATAGTGGATTAGTTTTGATCATTATGTGTTTAACTAATGTATATTGATGTTTTTAGATATTTGATTAAAGCTTGGGTATTTCTTTTAGTATTACTCAATAAACATTTCAATGACAATAAAGTCAGACTTAAGAGTTCAGGAGAAAAATATAAGTCAGATAACTAATAATAACATTAAAATTTGTAAGTATTGCTGGCGAGAATATAATTTATGGACAAATCAATCAGACATTAAGTAACAAGTCTTCAACTTTGGCGCAAAATTCATTCATCCATTTCGTTAAATAGCATTTTGGCATTATAGTTGATGTCGATTCGTGATGAAAACTCTGAATCTAATTCCGACCCCTAACCATCAACTGTAAATCATAATTCTAATTCCTCATACTGGTTTATATTCATCATTTAGTCCTAGATTTTTAGGTGGACATTCACAATGTCACTTTAGCATCACTCAAATGTCTTCCATAAATTATTTTCTTATCAATATTAATTGAATGCTCCATTTGAAGAAATAATTTCAATGATTTTTTTACTATCGAGTTACTAATGTTTCCGTTTTAATTTAATTACGTGTCGGGTAGAAACAGGTGTCTACCTCAGCACAATGGAAGATGGTAGCACAATTTCGTGGATTGGTTGAACTTAGACATTAACACCATTGGATGCCGGCTCAGCGGTCTAGTTTGTTAGGCGCCTGGCGCGAGTCTGATAGGTCCTGGATTCGAAACTCGCAGGGGGCAAGGTCGTGGATGCGCACTGCTGAGGAGTCCCGTACTAGAACGAAACGACCATCCAGTGCATTCAGGTTTTCCATGGTGGTCTAGCTTCAATTGACTCATGGTTTCAATCAAAAACTTAACAATCTCGACAACCTCTAAACTGATAAATACGAAATGTCAAAGAAATTATATATATATATATATACATAACTGATTCTTCAGAAATTTCTTCACAGAAAACCCTTTACAACATATATGATTTGGAAAATTCAAACAAATGAAATATTAGGAAGTCTGTCAATTGATCAATTGTCACATAAAAATATTTAAATCAACTACTTAATATGATTATGATAGTTTTAATGCATCTGTAAATTATGTATAATAACGGTTGTTACTTTGAATATTGGAAAAAATAACTCGGCAACATCAGTATTGTTCTGTTTATCAAGTATAACTATTATTATTATTATTATTATTATTATTATTATTAAATACATATCTCATTTCTCTAGTCTGCTTATGCATTAAATAAGTAAAAAGACCAAGTTCATACAATCATGATATTAATGAAATATTACATTAATATATTATGTACCTGTTGTATTCATTTACATAGAAATCAGAAAAGAAAAACATGTAGAACTTATTACTGTCATATTAATATTAGTAGTATGTATGTATGTACGTTTATATAGATATGCATGTAAAAAACAACGTTATACGTTTCAAAAAGGTAATGTAAATGTCGAATATCCATTTGCACATTATCATAAAATATGATCATATATATAATCCAAAATTGTATACATTAAATATTATACCTATATATACTACTTATTGATGTGATACTATAGATAAACTACAAGTCTGTGATGTTTTATATAAGTAATATATAAAAATAAATTATTATTATTACTATTATTAGAATATAATATAAATAATAAATAATATAAAAATGAAAAACGTCACATAATGAATCAATTTTATAATGTGTGATAAAATTATCAAACGTATTAAACGTTTATCATGTATATCAAAAATATATATGTATATATATATTGATGAGTCGGCTTCCGAGAACTACAACGGAGCCTCCAGCGGCCCTGAAGGAGCCGAAGAATTTCCAGCCAATCAGAACATAATAGGGCTTTCTAGAATATCAACGTAGCATGCTACTATTGGACAGTAGCATAATATGTCTCTTTGCGAATTGGTCGATTTATGATGTTGATTTAACAAATGCTAACATATATATATATATATTGATATAGATATAAACTTAACTAGAATGTCGATAATGCAATGAGAAGACGAAGATTATCAGAATTATGTGACATATTTGCGCAATACATTTTGAACAATCTGATCATACATACAACTTGTTAAGACATTTTTATAATAGTAGGTCAACTAGACAGATTAAAGATAAGCCGTAACAAAGAAAATAAAATTATGATAAAGTACACAAAAACAATGTGATTACCACACTGGATACTAAATCGGTATTACCAGGGTTGGTTAAGTGTAAGGACAGATTGTTTTTGAACTCATGGGTTACAAAAAATTCATAAGCTTAACTAGAATGATGTAATTTTATTTCAATTATTCTTCCTCTCTAATGACTCACATTACTTCGGCGCCCAAATATTGTGAAACTGTTCGTTCAAACTTAGACGAAAGTTCTTATTTATTATTCCATTATTTAATTATGTTAACTTGATATATTGAATATAAACTATGTTAACATTAATTTTATTAAATTTGTTACTCTTTAATAATACGATAGTTACATCGATAATAGTGTGATGTGAGTATTATCAATTGAAAGTGAAATACTTGGCAACAGAATGTTAAAAAGATCAAAGATAAGAGAATGAGAACAGAGAATGATTGTTGTGGAAATGAAGGAATAATAAAGTCTGCGACAGTTGATTGATATTTTGTAAATGAAGTAGTTACTGTATGGTTCTCAGATTTTACTAAGGGATTCTGTAATTTTATGTTCAATTACATTCGATTGTTCTCACTTGTGTTTTTGTTTACTACAATAATTTACTTATTAAGTACGGTTTCGAGTACAAGAACTTAAATCACATTTTAGATATGAAAACCAACAACCGTAGTAGATGGGATTTAACCTTTAATGTAACTAGTAAAAGTCGATTGCTTCAAAAATTAATCAATCGTTCCAGTATAATAATCCAGTACCTTATTATTTTACGAAAATCGTCAGATAATACTTTTTTTATTTAAATGACAACTTATGAGAGATAACACATCCGTTAAAGTAGAAATATATCAATTACAATGCCTATGTTTATCATTCTGTCATTAAACATAATACAAATATTGGTAACGGTATTAGGTTCGAGTCCCAAAGTGAACATCAACTGTGGGATGCAGGTACATCCAGTTGACGATTCCCAAATTGGACAAAACCTGCGTCCTGGATCCCAATGCTATTCACCATACGTCTTTACTTAAAACGCTTGTGACCTAAGGCATTATCGAAGCTATCCGTACAGGATGCACATATGCCAATAAGAGACTATTCATTTGTAGTTCCAAGCATCAATGGGAAGATTCAAATAAACAATACAAAGTGAATAAGAAAAAGATCATTCAGAGAAGAGATTTTTCTTTTCGACCAAATCATTTACTTAAGCTGTACATTCGTATATATAGTTATATGGAAAATATATGTCTATAGGAGGATAGAAAAGTAAATGATTTCTCTTTTTCTTATTCAATGACATTATGGGTTATTTTAATACAAAATGAATTTAATATTGGTAACTGTTGTAGTGATAATAATAAAAAATTTTCAACCTCAATTTGTTGACATGAATGAGATCAGTGTAAAGTAAAACTTAGAAAATTTATTTAACATAAGTGATTTCAGGTGATAAATATGAAGAAAATGAAATTTCCATAGTTTAAAGAACATACATTTATTCCATCTCATTAAGTTCTCTTCAGTTTTAAGAAATATTAGCATGAAAAGCTTAGGTCCGATTCAAAGAATACATTCTAAAAAGTTTAAGGTCGAATGGATTAAAAGAATTTAGCAATGCCATTTCTTTGACACAAAACAAGAGATACATTAAAGTCTATCAAAGTGATTTAAAAACAATCAAACTCCAATATTTTAAACTTTACCGAAGCGATAGCGATCAAACGTCTAAAACTATATCTATGTATCCAGAAAGAAGCAGTAATATATCTTTCTTTGCCCCGGTAATATTACACCCCTTCTTTATTTATTACATTATTTCAAGTTTTTCTGAAGCTTGATTACATCATTGTCAGTTTTCTTTAAGTCATAACTAACTGATTTCAATTCATATATTTCTTTATTACCATTAATCTGTTTTCCATTACTTCATTACATAATCATTTAGTGTTCATTAACTCTATGAGTTCTAATCACTAGTTCAATGTTTTGGAATTTTCCCTCTCAAACTCGATTTATTTGTCGGAAACAAACAATTTTTATAACCTTATTAACTCTATTGGAATCTTCACTCTATCATGATACACATATTCATCTGTAATCACCCTCGTAGGTATAAGTATGTCAATATCTGGAATAACGTTGATCTTAAGTATTCTAGGATGTAATCAGCTGATGAGAACCTAACGAAATAAAGTGAATTCATATATTATTCTGCATCAATCTGCGTTCTTGCTCTCTTAAGTAATAAAGGGAACTATGCGTATGGAAAGTAGGAATTACATTTTGCATCAAAAAAATAGTAAATTGCTTTTAAAGCTTAATTCGTAAACATTTTGATGAGGCTGTTCTAAGTAATCAGAACTATAATTCTGAAAAAACCTGAAGGTGATAACATGATTCTTACAAGTATAGAACAATAAAACGAATTGGAAAGAGATCTGCCAAATTTGAAATCTTCCACATATTCTGTAGTTTAGAGTCCTAAACAGCATTATTAACTTAACTATAGATCACCTGGTGAATTTCAAATGCACACAATATTTAACAATCACATTCATTATCTTCAGCAAGGAGAGAAACAACGACACTGACTTACTTGTAAGAACTATGGCTCTATTTAATACAAAAGCTGGAACTAAGTACTTTCACTTTAAATTATTTTTTTATGTTTGGCATCCTAAAGGATTAACTGTTATGATTTATACAGAGATATGAATTAAACAAAACCACATGAACTCAGCCTTTAGATATTGAATGAAAATTACTTTTCGACACAGTGCTTGTTCTGTATGATGTCATCGTGTTGTTTTATTTGGATAAATAACTATTTTGTAAAATAAAAATGAGATAAATGGGGTATTGTAAGGCTTTTAATGTTACCTCATACTATCAGCTTCTTCTGCACATTTTCCAACAGCTTTAGTTGTATTCGTAAGCAGCTCTTGGTTTGTTCTTGTAAGCAGAGAAACTAATGACGGAATTCCTCCAGCTTTACGTATTGTACTACGATTACTTGGATCTTTGGCCATTTCACTAAGTGCACCGACTACATTTACTAAAACCTAAAATAAAAAACATGTTTCAAGTTAAATATTAGGAAGAGAACATTTACCATTCAATAAATACACATTGTATTCACAATTAATAGTTTGTAAGGAGTATAGAAATATACCAATTGAATATAATTCTAAACAAATCAGATTACAGATAATTAATTTCATATCTTGAAGTGTAAACGTCATAGTAACCTTCGTTAACTTCATGAAGAATTTGCAAAAGAAACTTTGATAGATCGTTAAATGATGAATAGTGATGAGAGATTTTTATTCCGTATTGGAGTAGAAGTATATTGTATATATGTCAGTAAGCTCTAGATTATAACTTGTAATGATGTCATATGTGTTGTCAGTATCATTTAATGTATACTAATGTTTTTTACTATTCCTTTAAAGTTAACTGGTATACAAATCACACTACAGTCATGCACTAAGTTATACAGTGCATAGATATTAAATTGGTCTCAGATAGTAACACTAAATCATTGTTTGGTAATGTCCTGTGCGGCTAGTAGTCACTTAGTATGTACTTTACCATGATGGAACATATACATATCCTCGTAAAAGATCAATGGGGGACTACTTATTTAGCTTTTATATCAAGTTCGTTTGGTTTTTACGATATGAATGGGGATTGTAAGCCGTAAAATGAGTAACGATGTTGATAGTGCTCAAGTTTCAGTGACTTTTCAACAGATCTCTACTTCTAACTACTTGGATGCTCAGTTACTAGTTATTGGTACACAAGTGTCAAGGACATTTGTTAAATGTCAAAGTACGGTACAACTATATCTTCCAAACGAACCATTTTCGTGTCCTAGTTTCATCGTTGACTATCTGTTAAGACAGTCAACTTTGACAACGGCTTTAATATCCTTTTTTTCCTAGTGCTCACCGAGAACACACGTTGATCATCAGCCATTATCTGTAGGAATACATTAATTGAAATAGCAGATTTCTCTTCGTAATTGGTCTTATGTTTATAAAAAGTGTATTCGGTTCAGTTTTAGCTAAAACAGAATATTTTCATTGCAACTAGGTCGCGTTTGAAATCTGTTCGATTTCATTACTCATAACTCATACAAATGATACACCATAGTTTATCAAAGTGCTTATTTACAGTATTGATGAAAGCTTGAGTAACAACCTGTAGTTTTAAAAGAAATGAATGAGATTTCTCAGAGTACATAATAATACATGCTTAACTAAACAGACTTTATAAACAGATCATCAGTACATGAAAATACTACTCATTTTCTTGATAGTATAGTTAGTTAAAAAAAGAAGACTAAATTACATGAAAGCTTTAGTGTTGACAGAAGTATAACACAATAAGATATTAAATATCGTTTTGTATTATACTTGAACCATTTTGAAAAGTGGTCCCTACATTCAATTTTATAAACTCATGAAAGATCACTAGACTATAATTATCTTTCGTATATATGTGCAATTATCTCTTGACTGATTTCAGTTAAGAAACCACTCATACTATTATGAATGATCCAAAGATCAGGTGATTTAAGAATAACAATCATATGGGGTAAATTTATTTGCTAAACATAATGCTTTATGCCTAAACATGCGTCTGTTCACCTTGGAAAATACAATGAAAATATTTGAATGTTTTACTAGGATAGTAACTGTCAGTATTAAAACTTCTTTAAATAGTGATTTATTTTATTTTCGAAACTAACAAAATTACAAATAGTTTTTTTATACATTCTGTCCTTGTTTTCCTGATATTCTTTAAAACAGGAAGGTCCTTTTTGACGCCATTGCATTTCACATTAATTTACTTTTGGAGTCACAGAATATCGAATAATTTCTTATTGTCAGAAAGAGGATTTTGTGGAGATTGCAGTAATTTATTATTTGAATTCATGAGTCGATTAAAGCTAGACCACCATGGTAAACCTGGAAACACCGGATGACCGTTTCGTCATAGTATGGGACTCTTCAGCAATGTGCATCCACGATTCCGTTTGCAGGATTCGAACTTAGCACCTTCGGTCTCGTGTGCAAACGCTTGACCTCTAAACCACTGAGTCGGCATCTAACGGTTCGAATCCCGCGAGCGCGATCGTGGATGCGAATGGCTAAGGGGTCACATACTACGACGTCCGGTGTTTCCAGGTTTCCCATAGTGATCCAGCTCTAATCGACTCATGAATGTAACTGTTAAATTCTTTTATTTATTCGGTGAATAAATAAGTAGAATACAACGTAATTTACAAGTTAGATTGATAAGTATTTTTAAGAAATATGAAGATATAATTAGTCTTAATATCTTTACGGGCAATATGGCATTGACTGTTAAACGGTTACCCAAGTTTAAACGACAATTACTAAACAATCGATATTTTCGATAATTTGCAAACATCTTTAAGTGGAACTTATCTATGTACTACTTTCCTCATTGGATTTCACTAGTAAATAATTTAACAACACTTTACACACAGGATTCATTGACTTTTTGAAACCAGTGGGTTATCAAAGTCACGTAAATAGATTTCTAGACGAAAACTGAATCAACAATAAAGTCTTATTATTTCTAAAAAAATCTTTGAGATTCAAGGAGCTAAGATTGTTGATAGTCAATCCATCGTTCAAACTAAGAATGTCATCATTTACACTTAATTACAAGCTTTAGCTATCAAGGTTCCTTATAATTTAGAATTGTAAAACATCAAATACTTGTAGCAAGTGTTATATCTCTCATAAAAATTAGTAACACTTCAATATCGGCTATAAATCCAATAACCTGGAAGCACTAGACGGCCGTTTCGTCCTAGTATGCGGGTCCTCAGCAGTGCGCGTCCACGATCCCGCCCCCCACGAGATTCGAACCCAGGACGAAACGTCCGTCTAGTGGTACCAAGTTTTCCGTGGTGGTCTAGCTGCAATTGACTCATGATTTCAACCACTGAACTTTCTAAAATCTCCACAAAACCCCTAACGACAGAAAATCTGGTAGGTCTTTCACCTTACTTACGGATGAGGTATAAAACCTTCCTCTAATCATTTAACATAACATAGAACAAAGGAAATTTAGATTTCTTGACAGGCAAAGTACAATTTAGCTACTCCGTCAGAATATAACTATCTATATGTCTTAAATTCACAGATTTAGGTATATAGTCTAAGTACCGCTTATTGTTATAAGTGATGAATCGTTTTAGTTCTTGCTTGATTGACTCTATAACTCGGAGTTTCGTACCACAACTTGAAACCTAATACTGAGCAAATCATTCATGATCATGTAATGATAACTCAATCACTAACCCAACTAATCTGTCCAGTGCTTCAGGATTCCTAATGATTATTTGGTTAGTGTTAAACCTTAATGAAAATTCTCCTAGATATCAGTGACCTTAAATGAGCTTCACCTACTAAACAACCGGAAATGATATAGATAATCAAAATCATTAAGTTGAGTAAATGTGTGAAATTAAAAAGTGTTTAAAAAGTAAAATTAGGGAACAAAATAATTTAGTTAATTATCACATTTGCTTTATGACTTATTTAAAGAATAGTCTTAATTCCAATTATTGTTAGTGAAATCTATGTCCTATTAACAATTAGTCTGTATAATAGTAACACTGAAAACATAAACATTCAAGAAAAACTGATATCCTTAATAAGTGAATAGAATTATCTGGTAGCAATTTGAAGGAGTGCCGGATATTGTAATAGAGTAATCTGTTATTTTGTATAGTAGTTAAGGTAATGATTTGATGACATAAAAATCAAGTACTGTACTGTATCATGAACACATATGATGGGACTATAATTTATGGACGACCTTTGTGGAACGATAAAATGACTTGAAAATATCCATCTACTTACCATGGTTAAATCAGAGTTATAAATTAATGCGATGGACTATGATTAGGTTTAGAAATTATATTTAATATTTTCATCACGAACTGACATCAGTTATAATGCCGAAATGGTATTTAGCTATATGAGTGGATGAATCTCGCGTCAAAATCCAAGACCTGCTATCTTTAATCTGATTGGTTCGTCCATAAATTATAGTTTCGCCACACTTTTTCAAATCAACTATTATTTAAGATTGTGAGTAATGATATGTGGTTTTGACTAGGAAAATTTAGAAAAAAGCTTGGAAATTACAATGGGAAAGAGATTTCAGAGAATAAAGCAGTCAACTGTTAGACAACAAAGTCTCTTTTATCCAATCACAGTTTATTCATGAATCAATCATTAATAAATAGTAAAAATAGAAATCAGCTCGATTATAGGTTGTTAACACACGAATTCGGATCAGTTGAGAGAAAATTTGTTTGTCTTACTGATATGTTAAGTTTGCTCTGAACATAATTTATTATTTGGAAATAAGAAAGAATTGGTTGGCGTCAACATCGAATTGATCCAAGAAAGTTCGATCTTCAAACGATTTCCGCTAAGTGATTGTAATTATACGTCACTTAGATCAATAAACACATTACGATTTTGATCAACACTAAAAAGAACTACTAAGCAAACATGACTTTGATCCCTATCAATTGATGAATCGATTGCATATTTGAGTTATTTACATAAGATTTGATTAGCCCATAGCCAAATGATTGTTATTACTTCTGTCATATATGAAATATAACTAAATTTTAACAAATCTATTAAATTCACTGATACGCTCATTGTGTCATTATATCATTCTAGTTTAAGTGAAAAAAATGTTTCTTTTCTTTTCTATGAGACAATTATTTTAAATATAGTAGAACAGTAAACTACGGCAATGTAATTGTAGTAAATGAGAACAAATGTGAGGACAATTGGATGTATATGAATACAAAATTACAGAACGTCTTAGTAAAATCTGTGAACCATACAATTAATACTTCATTTACAAAATGTCAGTCAATCGCCTCAGACTTCATTGTTCCTTCGTTTCCACTGCAATAATTCATTGTTCTCGTTCTCTTTTCAGCGATTTTCTTAATCATCTGTTGACAGGTATTTCACTTTCGATTGTTGGTACATACTACTTATATCTGTCACTATCAGCCGCACACACCACACTACCACTAGATGTCTCAATACAAATATCTAGCAGTCATTATTATCAGTGTTGTGACTTGTGACTGCAGATTAGACGGCAGCAAATTATCGAATGGACCAAAGACGCGTAAACACGTAAGAACGGCCTAGAGTTCTGATTGGTCCGGCTTCCCTGTCTAGCCCAGCCAGTTGAGTCCAGAACGCAAGTCTCAGTCTCTGAGATATGAATCATTATATTTCGAGCATACTGAGTTTATATACCAATCAAACCGACCACAACGTACCAATAAAATATGAACAGCATTTGTACAAGAATTAGCCAGATGTGGCTGTGAACGAGGGAAGTAGCGATTAACAGACAGGGAATAGTGCATGAATGGTAAATCGTATAATAATATTTCATAGGTCAAAATAAAGCTCATGACAAGAGGGGCATGAATATGAACAGTTTAGTTACATAACAATTATACGACAAAAATATACTCATAATATTGGTCCATAAATGAATCCCAAAAATTACCATTCATTATTCTTATCGGGATACAACACCTCCCCCTTTTGAAGATCCGGATGATATCCGGATTTTAAAATTTCCGGGTTCATCCTCCCCCGCGAAATAGTGTTGGATCATCATATTCCCAAGCTACAATTAATTTGACTTTATTTAAAACGTATTTGCCACATTGAACAGAGGATCGACTGAAAGTGACTGAATGTTGAGGCTGAACGACACGATATGAGGTGATCGAAGCTGGATTCTTGTGAAACATTTTCACCAGATCTCTTGAAAATTTCATTAGTAGATAATCGATCACTAAGAAAATCAGCATCTATCAAAATTGTATTAGATTTCTGATCATCATTTGATGCATCTGTCATGTTTTCTGGTAAAAGAGAATCTCGATAATAAGATTCGTCAGAAACTCCTGTTGCTGAATGATGAGGACCATTTGGGACAGCTGGATTTAGTATACTGCCCGATTTGTTTTCTGTTTCTTTGTGGGCGGGTACTGCGATAAATTTATGAGCATTTAATATGACGTCGTCTTCCTGTGAGCTGGACAATCTAGTGTCTGTACATAGTGTTTCGGACGCAATGGGATTTGAGCCGGATGATATCCGGATTTTAAAAAGGGGGAGGTGTTGTATCCCGATAAGAATAATGAATGGTAATTTTGGGATCCATTTATGGACCAATATTACCATTCATTATTCTTATCGGGATACAACAATCAGCATCCTCATTTAAAATTTCATAATAAACGATTTAAATATAATCAAATTATTGCCTTTAATTTTATATTCACACATTTGTCATTTACTTTATATACCTACGTCCTTTTTAGTTGGTAATTTCAAGTAGTTAATTATTTGTAAATGATAGTGTTGTTTATCATAATTTCACTAAGTGAATGATTACATCATGATTCACTTTGCATTTAATTATCATAATCCTATTTATGTATGCAAACACTGAAGATGATACGTACTGAATATTACCAACTAGTAAGAAACCTAATTCAAGGAGTTCCTGATGATTATTTGTGATTACTTGATACCAAAATATCAGAATTATAGTTAAATTTGACTTGATTGATTAAGCATTAAGGACCAGGCACTATGACAGTGGTTCTTAATCAAGGATTAACCAGTTCAAATAACAGTGAGTTCATGTTTTTTCTACACACACGTTACATTATGTCTGAAACGATTAGTATAACACCTTTTTTGATAAAACATATGCATTTTTGTCAAGTTGTAAGTATTAACTAGAATTTACAAATTATCAACGCTTTAGTAAATTTATTAATTATGTGCCATAAAATGCAACTCGGCCTGGAGCTCCTCTGGGGTTACTGCTGTTCCCAAGCCCGGATAAAGGAGGAGGGTTGGCATGAGGTTAGCGACCCCACCCCTTAAAAAACTAACTAACCAGTAAGCATAATTAAAAAGAAAACCATATAATGCCGATTTCTAATTATTTTTATGAAACACAATAGTCTTATAATGTCTATTCATGAGATAAAATGTATAACGATACATATCCTGATGTGTGGATGAGGAAAATAATGATTGGTTGTTTGCTTAGTTAGACTAGTAAACAGTCTGAAAGGTATTAGATGAGTTATATGTTTTCCTATCTTTATTATTATTGTGCTTGTTTTCAATTTTTGGTGTGGAAATATACTTACGTTGTAGTCGGGCTGGTCACATGTTCTTGATCTGAGTTGTGTTGAAGTCATGTAGAATAGACACTGAGAGAGGGTATCTAGTGTAGATATTCGTCTAAGAACATTAACGCCTCATTCGTTTCGACGAAGAAAACCGAGAGTTATAACATATTCTATCCTACTGCCAGGTATTCCACTCGCGATACGTGTCACATACTACTTATGTCTGATAACATAAGTAACATGCACCACAAATATACTAATTTTACAAACCTGGTTTTCAGCTCACAATGTAGACTTTAGGTTACCTTTCTCATTATCATTCATATCATATGACATGTGGTACATTTCAGATAATTCCATTATGATGAATATCCGTTTTTCCACATTGCCCCTCGGAATCACATGTATGTGCGGTGTGTGCTACTTATGCTGACAGATATAAGTAGTATGTAGCACCAATCATAAGTGCTTGGCAGCGAAAGACTGAGATAAAGAGAGCAAGAAACAAATCGGAGAGCAATCAAAACAACAACATAATTGAACGAAAAATGAAGTATGCAAATGATAACCCAAATAATCTGTGAAAATTATGTATTTAATGTAGGATTTTCATATTTTACCAAGACATTGTGTGATTTCGCATTTAATAATAAATTAATATACCCTGCCGAGTCTTCGTTTACTACATACATAGTGACAAAAAATAACCTTTCGAGTTAAGTAACAGCCTAATTCCCACTATCGTAAAGCTCACAATTACTTATGACAAATAATAACAAATTTATGACATCATATAACCTACTTCTTCTGGTTGTTCATTCAATAAACCAACTAATTGTTCAATTGTTCCAAGTTTTTGAAATTGTTTTACATTTTCTTTTGAAATTGCACATTTCCAAATAGCACCAGTGACAGCTGCTAATAATTCTTTATTAGATTGTTTACTTAACAATATTACCAATGGTTCTAAACCATTATATGTACGAACTAGATCACGTGTTTCGGGCTCTTCTGCACACTTGATAAGACAAATAAATAAGTTTTAAATTATTAAGAAATATTTATTAAATTTTAATTCCATAGAAAAAAAAATTTAGAATTTATACGGTGCTGGGTAGTTGTAACATTCAAACCACCATGTGTGTGGAAGCTACAGTCTTGTCATAAATGCGACAAGAGAGAATAAAAGTGTCTTAGACTGAAAATAAGAAACGTTTTTCGGTGTCTCTGAGCTGCCATGTTACTGTAATTGATGTCACTTATTAAGGATTTCGTTCTCTATAAATTCTAATAAATAATGCAGTTGTATGTGTGTCTCATTGTCTCTTAAAGTGGTCAAGGTGTTCTAAAATTATTCACAAGGCATAAAATCAATCACTTCAAGTGAAATATGTTATTCAGTAATTAGACAGATAGAAGACTTCCATAGCTGTAAACTTCCTATCAAAATGAATCTTTTCTCAATACCAATGAATTCTAGGTGGCCTGTTTGAATATCTGGGCTACCTGTTCCTACCACCTGTATGTTTTAACAAGTTATTTGTTTTCTTGTTTGTTTTAACACATCATTATGCCCATTAGTCGCATAACCTATTCAGAAGCATTTGTGACAAATTCACGACATTTCGTTGTGTAAGTTACAGAAGTGCACAATCAGAAACATCGTGGTTACTGACAATATGCATCGAAAAGAATGTACATCATTCAAATGTCGATTCTTGGACTGTTAACATCTAACTGGCGACCACTCAATATTTATCATCAGGATCGATCAAGAAATAAGAAACGGAAAGTTTTTGAAATACTTTGTGCTGAGAATTCTATTTTGTACCAAAAATACAATATTGAACAAAGCCAATAATAATAATGAAATATGTTAATTAAATGTTGTTCATCGTATACACATATACTATGATGTATTGGGAATTAATTCATTGTATACCTTTCTTTTTAGATTGTATTGCATTTTGAAACTTTGACCCCACATAATCAGCTTAATACATACGCTTTCAAAAAAATATGATAGGAACAAGCAAACGACTACTTGCGATACACAATACAAACTAATCCAGATGTTTAAATACCTACATGTTTTAGTTAAAGTGTTATTACATAACCAAATCACATTTTAATAAAGATACTTTTCATATCCTAAATGAGTAGAAAAATTAAATTTTTCAATCTTCGAATGTTTTATGACTCAGTGTAAGTCACTTTAATTGTTCTATTTATCAAGATATTACAAATCTATTACTTTGATTAATAACAATCTACCCAATCAGTATCAGAAGGTGTTCTATGTGGATATTATAGTAATTTAAATAGTTGAGATCATGAATCAATTGAAACTAGACTACCATGGAAAGCGTGGAAGCACTAAATGGTTGTTTCGTTCTATTGTTGGAGTCCTCAGTGGTCTGGTGGTTAAGCGTTCGTGCGCGAAACCGATAGGTCCTTGGACCAAATTTCGCGAGGCGGATCGTAAATACGCACTGCTGAGAAGTTCCATAATGGGATGAAACGGCCGTTCAGTACTCCCAGGCTATCTATGGTGGTTTAGCTTCAATTGACTCATGATCTCAACTACTGAAATTATCTTAAATTATCAAGTAAAAACTTAGTAATGACCCCCCCATAAAAATCACATTTTCTATATACAAATTTCAATTCATGATTGTGGTAAATCTTATCATTCATTGAATTTACTAATTATGAAAATAATAAACTTACTTTAAATATTGTAGAGGCACAATGCATTTGAAGTTCATCATTGTCACGTTTTAAATTTTTTACTAAATCACCAATCATACCTTCTGTACGAATAGCAATACGATAGCTTTCCTATTTTAAGAAAAAAAAATATTTTTTTTCTATAATGCAATGAGAAGACGAAGATTATCAGAATTATGTGACATATTTCCGCTTTACATTTTGAACAATCTGATCACACAATACTTGTTAAGACATTTTTATAATAATAGGTCAACTAGACAGATTAAAGATAAGCCGTAACAAAGAAAATAAAATTATGATAAAGTACACAAAAACAATGTGATTACCACTCTGGATACTAAATCGGTATCACCAGGGTTGGTTAAGTGTAAGGAGAAATTGTTTTTGAACGCATAAAGCGGGTTGCAATTTCCATATAGCCAAGGCTTTAATAAACCTTAGTATACATCCTTGAAGGCTTTTGCATAACACTACAAATGCTGACATGATGTCAACCTTATGACCAGTCTCAATCAAATGTTTCGCAATGGAGGATGATGTTTGTCTATCCAGTGATCTTATTTAACCATTGGAATCCATTTGTTTCTGCAGCCATTTTTTATGTGTTCACCCACTCTTAATTGCAAATCACGATTGCTCCTCCCTATGTACGTGTTTCCGCAGATACAAGTAAATTGATAGACACAATGTGATTTGACACAATCGCTTTCGTGCTGTTTGGGCTTTTGGTGAAACATAGACCCTGTCTTTTCGATAATGACGAGCTGGGCTGCGTAAAATGTCCGGCTGATAGCTAATTTAAGTCTCTGTTTCAGCATGAGACTATTTGTGTCGCCTCTAAATGTAAACTCGCTTTTTGGGTGCCAAAAGCACCGTAAGTCTAGTCGTATTGCAACCCTTCCAGTAGTTTATGAACTTCAATAAATAACCATTATTCATTAACGTATCAGTCAAGAGCTTCGTCTCTATTTCAATACCGTCACTAGTACAAATACGATTGATTCTATTGAATAAGACCTTAATTAATCCACTTTTGTAATGAATTGGACAGTGACTGCGAAAATTAAGATATTGCACTGTCCATGTTGGCTTTCTATGTATAGAACGTTGGATGGAACCATCATCTCTCCTACTGATCGGCATGTCTAGAAATGAAGTAACATATTTTATTATAGTGTATGTATATTTGTTGTTAGTCATGAATGTGGTAAGAACGAAAAAACAACACAATAACTAGCACAGTTTAGAATAATCAAATACAGAGTAGTAATGTAGGGGACGAAAACACAAATGAGGACAAATGAACGTATATGAATACGAAATTACAGGATCTCTTAGGAAAATCTAAGAACTATACAGTAAATACTTCAATTGCAAAATATCAGTCAATTGATTGTCTCAGACTTCATTGTTTCTTCGTTTCCTCATTAATCATTCTCTGTTCTCGTTCTCTTTTCTCTGATCTTCTTAACCTTCTGGCCCCCTGACATTTCAGTTCCGATTGATGATAAATACTATTTATATTTATCAACATCAGTAGCACACACCACAGTAGATTACTGAGGTGTTCATGGTTATTAGTTTTAGAAAACAGAAAATGTTGATAATGTCCGGTTGTAGTAGCGTAGTAACGTTTCTATGTTCTTATAAAGGTTCAATCTTTGCCTGAATATATTTCCTGTTTAATGCAAGATTGAATAGAGTACGCATTTGACTTATATCTTTTGAATGAAACAAGTGGCACATTTTTACGTACCCCTTATTATTGTTTTTCATTCACTAAACTGAGTAAATCTTGTACATTTGTTTTAACATCGTAACTATATCGCATCTTTAGAATTTTATTAATTGTGCAGAGTATTTAAGACAACTTCATAGGGTCAAAAGTATTACGGTTGATTATAATTTAAAAATACAAACCATAGAAACTAATGCATTGAGATTTTTTCCGAGTAATTTCTAACACTGTTCTATAATTCATAACAAACCATAGTTGTATGATGTGTATTATTGAAGATGATTAGGTGAGACTATAATTTATGGAAGACATTTGAGCAATGCTAAAGTGACATTGCGAATGTCCACCTAAACATCTAGGACTAAATGATGAATATAAACCAGTATGAGGAATTAGAATTATGATTTACAGTTGATGGTTAGGGGTCGGAATTAGATTTAGAGTTTTCATCACGAATCGACATCAAATATAATGCCAAAATGCTATTTAGCGAAATGGATGAATGAATTTCGCTCCAAAGTTGAAGACTTGTTACTTAATGTCTGATTGGTTTGTCCATAAATTATAGTCTCGCCAACGATTATTTCGGATCTCTTCACTATGCTCAGCAATACTGGAATAACAAAAAGAATTTATACAAACATGGATCAACTGCTTTGTTTATTTGAACTCACAACCAACGTACTGTGATTGTTTTAACTGTGGAGTGGTGGCTTATTAATTAACAAATTTTCAATCGTTCGAAAATAACTTTGAAAATAACTTTGCATTAAGCAGCTTAGTAATATCAGTAGTTCTCAGACGCCAAAATATGACTGAATTATGAGTACACGAGTCTATAACTGATTACTGATTTACATCAATGCGTTATTTATTTCAGATTAGATAACATAATGTTTCAAACAACCTCAGTTCTGTTCAACTACCCAAGAAGACTAGTTAAGATTACAACTGATGATTCGAATTACACACATAAGACACAGGTAGGAATTATATTTCATCGTCTATAAATTTCCAAATTGTCATTGTGTTGAAGAAATGAAATTTAAGCAGTAAATAACTTACTTCAGAAGCACATTCTTGTAATGTTCCTACAACTGGAATAAGCATATTTTCATGTGGAGATTTTAATAGACGAACTAATAATGGTATGACACCTGCATGTTTCATAGCTAATTTATTCTTTCTAGATTTACTGCATGACCATAAAGCTAATGCACCACATCGTGCTACTTCAATATCTCTTTCAACTTCACTAGTCATTGGTACACTATTTAAGCTTGGACAATCGAGTAAGGCAACCTAAAAGTAAGCAAAATTATGCATGAAAGTCAATAACTATTGAGACATTATATCGGATATAATTGTGATTTTAATGAAAGTGCATTCAGTCTATAAGACTAATTGTACAAGCAAAGCTATATAACTGAATATGAAAATACTAAAAGGTATATAAACAAAGATGGATAGTGGTTAGCAGTAGAATCCAAGACGCGCGTTCCATTCTATTTGGGACTCGTTAGCTGGATGTACCTGCATCCCAGAGTTGATGTTCACTTCGGGAATCGAGCTCAAACAAAACGAAACGCGCGTCTTGGATCCCACTGCTAGCCATCACTCATATTTGCTTATAAAGCTAGTGATTTAAGACAATATCGAAGCAGTCCTCATAGGATGCACATATGTCAACAAGAGACTGATCAATTGCAGTCCTAGACAACAATGGGAAGATACAAGCAAACAATACCAAGCGAACTAGAAAATATATTTTATTAAAAATCTAACTTTTATGAACAATCATTGTTATCAATTTGATCATTTAATTCTGCAGTAAATCACTGTTTATAACTTTCAAATTGAACTAACTAGATATATAGATTTATCGTAGTAAAGCCACTTTTTGTCTCAATCAAAAAGAACTTACTTGAAATATAATGTAACGGTCATTGTATAACTCATAGCAAAGCAGATTAAAGTTTCATTATTGTCAAATATTTTACGTTTTTTTGAAAATATAAAGTAAGAATTTGTGAACAGTGTAATTTCTATAACTTATGTGAACATTTACTGATTCATTGTAGAGTCAGCATGAAAATCTTGATATGATTTACATCCGTGAATAATGTTGGAAATATTCTATAACGCTGTTACAAATTCATAGGTTAGACAATGACGAATTTAATTTTATTGTCCTAAGTTGTTAATACCCACGATTGTCCGGAAGATAAACTCTACTTTTCTGAAAGAATCGTACGATTGATAAATTCACTTGATCTTGTTTACTTGTATCTTCTCATTGTTAATTAGGATTGCAATTGATCAGTCTCTTGTTAGCATATGTGCATCCTATGAGTACTGCTTCAATATTGCCTTAAGTCATAAGCTTTTTTAAGCAAAAATGGATAGTGGCTAGTGGTGGAATCCATGATGCACGTTTCGCCTTATTTGAGTTCGAGTCCCGAAGTGAACATCAACTCAGGGATGCAGGTACATCCAGATAACGAGTCCCAAATGGAACTAATGCGCGTCCTGGATTCCATTACTGGCCATCATCTACCTTTGCATATAAATCTTACAATTGGTCTATATCCATATACAATAATCATCTTTTAACCTTTGGTACCATTTCAAAAATTTATACGACTCATTTCCTCATTATATCTTCGATAATTATTGGTAACAGTTTTATCTGTCTTATTATTTAATATACCCGAATTCTTTGTCAGTCAGTCAGTTAGCTACAACGTAGGACCAGGTACATATGTACATCAGTCCAAGTTGCCATACCGCATTAGCATAGCAAGATGAACACCGGATTCATAGAAGTAGTTAATGATAGTAATATATAAAAGAAAGACTGCATATAAGGATCTAGTACAGGAAGAAAGATTTAGTTCGTAGAAAGAAAGATATGAAGCGAATTTGATCTCATAGTTTAAGGGAACACAGAGAGTATATACACCTACACCATTATGATCGATTCTGAGCCATGTCACCAAGTCTCCAACCATTGGTTACGATAGTCACGCGAACCTCAATCAAGAAGTCTGTATCTACCAACATGGCTCACACTACAAGTTAGTGACTTCAAGCACTGATGCCACGTTTGAGTTTGGCCGCCCCTAACTTTCTTCCAGCTGTTTCCATCACCAGTCACCATTGCGCGTTGTGGTAATCGGTGTTCAGGCATACGTAACACGTGACCCAACCATTTCAATCTATGAAGATTCACAACCTCATCAACTGATTTACCATCGTTCCCTAATACTGTGCGTCTAACCTCATTATTACTTACTCGGTGATCCCAGCAGATGAGAGCAGTACTTCTAAGGCATGTGTGGTTAAATACTAGTAGTTTACGATTATCTTCATCTAAAATACAATTAGTAATCAACTGATAACATATATAATTCTATGAATCAAAAAAGAAAAATCAATCCATTGATTCATTTACATAAACTTACCAAATATTTTATACCACCATATTGTCTAACTGTACGTCTTGCTCGATGACAATTAGCCACATTTGCTATAACTTCAGCGCATAAACATTTCAAATCACGATTTAAACTACGTAACAAGTTGACAAGTGGTTGTAAACCACCAATATCAGTAACAGATTTACGTATTTGTGGATTTTTAGTAATTTCTTTTAAAATTTTCAATGAACCAAGCTGAATTTAAACAAAATATAAATTAATAATATAAACTTAATGGATAATTATGATTAATCAAATTTTGACTTAATTTCATTTCATCACATTCAGATAATAAGTATCATTATCAAGATTTGACTTGATAATTTCGGATAAATTGAGCGTTGAATAGATTGTAATAAATAAATTAATATATTTGTAACATTCTCACGAGTAGAAAAACTAGATTTTTTTGACGTTTCGTGACTTAGTGTAAGCCACTTCTTCAGAGAATAATATTCTTGTTGTTCCGTTTGTACTATTTAAACTTGGATTAATTTCGATTTGGTTATTTATTTATTCCCTGAGGAAGTGGCTTACATTAAGTCACGAAACGTCAGTAAATCTAATTTTTCTACTCATTGGGATATTACAAATATATTATTTATTTATTCAGATAATAGTTTCCATAAGACAAAAATTGGTTGAATATCCATTTGAGATAACATGTTGGTAGATAAGTTTAACACAGATCTGAATGGTTCATAAGTAGTAGCTCATGTATGAAATGTTTTCTTAGACAAAACCATGTAAAATCAATATGTTATCAATCAGAATGAAATATAAAATAGAACATTGTTTTAGTGTTTCATTCTCTGAATTCTAAGAAGGAAAAGCTTAAGACTGTAGTAATTATCCGACAGTCAATTTCGATTATGATTAGTTTTGGTAAAGTCCTTTTATTAACTTACTTAACAGTCACTAGATCATATGACAGACTCTAACTAAAATGGTGATCCCTTAAATATCAATCGATGATTCATTTTGTTCCCCATGTATATATGTAATCAAATCCTATTATTAGTCCTTGCTTTGCCTTGCTACGCCCTTATGTGATTTGACTATAAATTTGCCTCTGTTATTGCTCACATATACTTATTCGCATCTCTGCTTCAAATTTGCTCGATGTGCCTATAGCATTATGATCTGCGCTATCTGCTAATCAACTGTAGTTGCCTCTTCTCATTGCCTTCTGATCTCAAACACCGTTGAGATTTATATTGTAACGGTTATCGAGAGGTGATCGATTAGTGAAGCAAAGCCACTAGAAGACAACTCAATTTCAGTCAGAAGTAACTAAATCCAAAGAATAAGTTCATTAAAAACCTTCATTTCATAAACATTTATTGTTGAATTAGTATAATGTTTGTGTATAATTTCACAAAGCCATAGAACATTTATATGGATATTGTTAACTGTGACATCGGATAATCACGTTCACTTTACTTGTTGAATAGGGATTTGATAATATATTTATTGATGATTAAAACTTCAGCCTAATATTAAGTAGTGAGGTCTCATTAATCGTTCAATGATTTTAATTCTTTATTTTTTTAAATGAAATTGGTCAATGTCATCAGTGGTACATTTTTGTTTAAACATAATATAAAAACAGTTCACTTGGATTTTGTTATTACTTTAATTTATTATTCATTTCAAGTCGAAGAAACTATACATGAGTTCAACTTCATTTATAATTGATATTTGATCATATCATATAGTTACCATGACTAGCCTTACTACTAATAGTCGTTCACTTTTAAGTGTTTTTGTACTTGTAACATATGAAACTTTGAAGATGAAGTATGTTTAAACCACAGAATGATGTCCGCTAGAGAACTCTATAAACATCATAAATCTCTATATCTTAGGATTTCAAAACTAGTGCAAAACAACTACTTATTGTTTACTGGTTTCCAATGATGTTCCAAATGATGTCAGTTCTAGGCGAGGAACATTCACATACCAAAAGCTTAGAAATTCAAGTTAAAAATAGCACCAAAATATGGATAAAAGACATAGATTATTGTCTCTTGAATATATACTCCAGACAGACCCTAATTCTAGTTCTATACATATAGGACTTCATGGACGAACTGTAATTAAAATACGAGGAAATTTGATACCCTTAAAACAATGATATTTTTAAGGGTAATCTATATTCTGAACACATGTTCATCATTTTACCAATAGAAATCTTACTTTCGCAGTATTTATAATGTAGCGGCCGTGACCATTCATTCTAAAATTCATATAGTGAACATTAACCTCTGGTTAAGTTAATAACTCTACTTCATGTAGTCTAATTCTACTTTTATACAAGAATCGGTTAGCCATACAGTTTTGATATATCATATGATCTTGTTAAGTATAATCAATTCGATTCAGTAAAAATTTATTTCCTTTTTGTTCATTTATAAAGTTACTTGATTACATAATTGTCATATGATGGAAAGCTTAATTTAATAAAATATTAGACGGAATAAGATGACCAAACGTAGAACTTAGTCACTAAAACGAATAATGACTTAATTAGGCATCAAATAGATAGTAATTCATCGAATCCCAGGAATTTGTCAATAACCTATTACACTATTCACCTTTTTCATCTCATAAAAAAGGTACTATTGGATAATAATCTATTATTTGTTATAGAAAGAAAATAACTCACTTTACAACGAACTTCATCTGTTTCAAGTAAATTAATGAGTACTTCAATTCCTCCAACATCACGAACAGCAAGTTGACAAATTTCAGTTTTTAAAGGCATATCTTTCAAGGCACATAAGGATATGATAGTTGATGTTTGATTTCCACCCTTGTAAAATATGTACAAAAAGATATCATAAAAAGTAAGCATTACGTCATTATAATCAGACTTTTTAAAGTTCATCTACAGAAGGTGATAAAGTTTTATTTTGTGAAAAAAAGAAAAGTATCCAACAGGAAACTTGATGTCAACATTTCTCACTTGTTTAAACTCGTCAAGCATACTGTCTAATCGTTCTGAAGCCGACTGAAACGTGTGTAATAGTTACGAGAATGTATTGCTCATCTAACAAAGTAGTTAATAATCTCTTGGTTGTGAGAAAAAACATACATTAAGTATTAATTGGTTACGTATTTAAAATATATACATATTTGAAGTATATTGAACATTTACGTTACTTCTATACTATTATTTACGTTAATTTGATGGATTAAATCTTGGTAAATTTGACAGTGATTTTTTCAGGTCGATAATTACATAAAGACCTTTAGAATTACTTTATACTGTTATAGAACTTCTCATAAATTTTCGTGCAAGATCCCTAAAATTAAATCTCGGATAGTTGGTAATCTGTTTCATCATTTAATATCATAGTACATTTAATCAAACTTTGAAGATATTACAAAATAAGGCCAAATAATAGGTCAATATGTACTCTATTAGTATTCATCGTTCAATCCTCAAAACTATTAACATGAAATTTATATGGAATTCAATACATATTTTGTATAAAGCGGCGGATATCACTTAAAATGAAACCCCTATTTCACGGTCATCTATTATTCTCGAACTGGCTAAATCTGTTTTATGTATATAAATTATAACAAATTACAGATGAACGAGACTATTTTCCATTCTCAGGTAAGCTACCACATAGACATCGATGTTTTCGCTAAATTAAAAAAAATAATAGTATCACGAACCTTTAGATATTTAATTATCTTGCCAATTTGCCAATATTCAGATGGTAAGTCAGCGTTTGCATCTTGTCTACGCTCTGGGATATCATCTTCCAATTCAGTTTCACTTTCTGAGCTTGATTCACTAAAACTGTCACCATGTCTAGAAGAATTGCGTCTATTCAAATAAGCAGAAAATAAATAGAAGCTAGCATACAATAAAATGAAAGATCAAACAATTTACTGTTTATACATAATGTAATTCATCATTATCGAAGTAGATTAGGCTGCAATGACCAGAAGGAACACTAAAATTCCAATGAAAAAAACTTTCAGGCAAGTAGACTTTGCAACTATTTACTTTTACGTAGAAACGGACTTAGTGAATAAACCGCCCAACAATTTCTCAAATTCATTTTAAAACTTTACTGATATTGTAGAAAATGCATTAACTAGGAATTTTTTGTCACACATATATTATCTAGAGTGTGCTCATTAGCATTAGAATTAACAACCGAAATCGGAACTGACTCACCTGGTTCCTGAAATTGTATTTGATCAACATGTTGACTGTGTGTACTTAAGTCGTTGATGTCTAGAACTCGCACCATCGATTTTCCGACATTCTTCAGAACAATACCCGTAGATGATCAAAGATCATTTCCTCGATAGTATGTAACTTCTGCAGACTCCAACCATCTCATATTCGACCGAAGAATTCTTCCTTTCAATAGCTTCGTTGGAGTCTCCTTCGTCACCGAATGTCTGGCATTTCTATATTGCAATAGAAAGGTATCTACCCCTCTCCAGCTCATTAAATGTTGAGGCGCTATAGAATCAATGGCAGTCTTTAATGTCCTGACAAAATTCTCTGCCTGGCCATTAGAACACGGATGTCTGGGAGCAGTAAACAGATGTTTACACCCTATACCGTTCAACCAGGTAGTGACTGCATCTGCAGCAAAGTGAGAGCCATTCAGTCACTAACACCATAGGAACCCCTTCTCGACTAAACACCTTTCTTAATGCTTGGATTGTGAAATCAGAATTTGGTGAAGTTGTGAAAAAACTTTGAGCCTTTGAAAAAGAATCAATAATTACTAGTGCATAGTTTTTACCAAGAAACGGGCCACAATAGTCAGCATGAATTCTCTGCCAGGCCTCAGACGATACTGTTATGGCGTCTACTTCCAAGGATGATTTTTCAACTGACGAAATTTCTCACAATTGTTTCCCGTACGACATATATCTGCATTTATCTGTGGCCAACAACATATGAGCCTTGCCAAGGACTTTATTTTCTCAACACAGGAATGACCGCTATGAAGATCTTCAAGAACAGATTTACGCAATGAAGGAGGAATGACAGCACGATCATTTAAACACAGAATACCATCAGGAGTAGTAGATAGCTCATCCCGCTTCGAAAAATAGATAGGAAATCTACGTTTCCAGTTGGCATTCCAGCCTTTCCGTATAGCACTGAGTATACATCCAAAACATCTGCGAGTTTCGCTTATGAGATCTGAACGTCTCACTGTTAAAGGTTGCACTAACAAACAGTCTGGAGTATTAACAGGTCTGTCTTGTAATGATTGTCGAGAAATGTAGTCAACGTGTTGAATTTGTTTGACACTTCTGTGCTGAACCGTATAGTCATATGCACTCAAAGCAATACTCTATCGTTGTACCATAGCAGCTGAGGAACGTGCTAAGGATTTTTCAAGATGATAAATAAACTTTAAAGCTTCATGATCAGTAACAATAGTGAATTTCTTTCCGAATAAATATTTGTGAAGTCTTTTAACGGCCCAAAACACAGCTAATGCTTCTCACTGAGTCTGTGAATAACCTTGTTCAGTAACAGTAAGTTTGCGTGAAACACAAATAACTGGTCTACCTTCCTGCTCCCAAACTGCGTCAATACCCACAGGTGATGCATCAGTAATAAGCACAGAATGTACACTAGGGGAGTAGATTCTAAGAACAGCATCACTTTGAGGAAACTTCAGTATACTTCGTAAGCATAACTCTTGTTCCTCACTCCATTTGAATGAATTGGATGTCAACATATTTAATAAACAGTTTGTACGACAAGGAAAATTAGGAATAAAACGGGAATAGTATTGAAGAGCACCCACTAGTGAACGTAGTTCCGTAAGATTTTTTGGAGACGGTTCATTTGTCAGTGAAGCTAGTCGTTTCATATCTGATCTAAAACCATTACCATCAACTAGATATCGAAGGCATTCAAAACTAGATACACAAAATGAACACTTATTTGGATTCACTGTAATATTCCTCCCAATTAAACGACGCAATAAAGCAATAAGTCTCTGGTCATGAACTACCTTATTAGTAAAACCATGAACAATGAGATCATCTTGATAAACTTCAACACCTTCAAGATCACTAACTACTTTATTCATAACTTCCTGAAATATGGCTGGAGAACAACTTAGACCAAATGGAAGGAAATTGTATTTGAACAGACCAAAAGGAGTGTTAATTATCGTCAAAATAGATGAACATTCATTTAAAAGAATTTGAAGATAAGCATCTTTTAGGTCAACTTCCGAGAACACTTTAGAACCATGAAGTCGATTTAGAATATCTTCAGCCTCTACCGTCGTGCACGTTTGCTTCAACAAACGGGAGTTCAGATATAAGTTATAGTCACCACAAATTCTAGGGGTCTTGCCGTCCGACTTCAGTGGCGTAACGATAGGAGTACCCCATGCTGAAGACTGAATTGTTTCAATTATGCCTTTTGCACACAAATCGTTTAGTGTTTTGTGTACTGCTTCTCGAAGACCATAAGGAATTATTCGTCTTTTAAGAACGACTGGATCACCCTGTACTTGAAGTTTTATAGGCTGAATTTTCATACCTCCACTGAACTTAGTACACATAGCTATCAAATCTTTAAGTAAAGTATCAGAATTTTCTTTAGAAACTAGGAAAGACAACTCCACTCTAAGCCTTTTCAAATTCTTTAAACCCAGTATTGACAGTCCAGTAATCCTCAATATTGATACTTCAGTGGGTCGTATCACAACGTTAGGATCTTAGGATTTCAAGTTCTTGAATGAAATAATGGACTCTATACTGCCTATGTCCACAATAAAGTCATGAAATGAACCAAGCAATGTATATAGTCACTTTTGAATATGAGCATTACCTTTCGAAATAGTAGTCAAAGATAAATGATCACTAGAAACATCCGAATTATTGAGATTTAAATTACAAGATTTAGTACTACTTGAAGCAAAATGGACAGTAGCTTTGGCTGAACGTGTCCTATCTTACCACGTTTAAGACATTCAGGACTATGAAATGCACATGAATTACGAGAATGAAACTTTCCGCATGATAAACATTTACCGAACTTTATCTCACCTTTGTGATTTGCTTTGTAATTCCTTGTTGAAACACCTTTCATATTTACACAAGAATAGGAATCACTGTTCAACGAACGCAAGTTTGATTGACCCTGAGATTGTAGTTCATCATGACGACTAAGCAGAGTATTAGAAATGTTCATCGACTGGATATCAAGTTCATTCACTGCCTTGTAGTTAATACACGCAGTTCAAGCATCTTGAAAGGAACAGTTTGGCATTCTTAACTGTTTTCTTTCCAAACCCGGTACGTTAATTCCTACAATTAATCGATCTCTCAGTTGCACATGAAGTTTATCACTGAAATCACACTTAGCAGCTTGTTTCTGCAGTTCAAGGATGAATTCCCGAACCTTTTGGTCATTTTGACGAACCATCTTATGAAATTTCGCCCTTTCACGGCATTAAAAACTGGTGCACTTAACATGATTTAATTATAGCTCCTTAAGAGTTGCATAAGGGAGTGAGATAGGTATTTCTGGATGTTCTAAAGTTTTTAATAAGCTGTACGCTCCTCTCTCAATGAATGTTAGGAAATGTGTCACAATTTTATCACCTTTAACATATTTCTCAGTCATGCTCCAGATTTCAAACCTTTCCAAATAATCCTCAAAAGCTTCCGAAGTTGAATGAATATCAAACTTTTCCATCGCAGGCTCCATCGTGACGCCAGTGTAATATTTGAAAAGAATTCGAATTATAGTACGAACTAAGAGTCCCAGAAATAACGCAATTGAATTAAGAAGTAAGACACAAGCATAAACGAATGTATTGTATTTGGAATTTGAAATCGAGCAATCCACAAGTACGAAGGTATCATCAGTTCGTTCAAACACCACAGTGCATTTTGTTGAGGGTCAGTGCAATGAAAATCAAAAGTACGGAGATTATTCATTGCTGGTATATTATCGTATAATTCTAATAACTCAGTCGCTAAAGATGGTATCATTATTTTTGTTAAAAGCAGTATTTGTTGTTCTTCTTTCCCGTTGACTTTGTACAGTAAATTTTAACATAGTGACACCATATATAACGTCTCAATCACTGTATTTAAGTAATGAACAGCATTTTATACTCCAGGTGATCGCTCAACCGCACCCACTGTTGGAACGTGCTTGACATCGTTGAATTTTGGTCCTGTTCGGAATTGGTACACTTATGCTGCTAGAATAGTAGACCTAATCCTAAAATTGTAGATCTGTCATAATATGATCACCTAATCCATAGGATCTCACATGAATTTCACACCATTCTCTGCACTGAATCGTCCTACAGTGACAATCAACAACATGATGCTTAGCACTTCTGGAGAACACATTTGGGCTGTGGACATAATAGTGTATTTTATGTGAAAAAGAGTGAGCAGGAAAATGATCACGCCAGCATGTCCGAGCCATGCGACATACCGAGTAAATGTTCACGCGTTCACCATTTTTGACCTTCCCTATCGTGCTACATGTTGAATGTAAATCTTCTCACTAGTTATATGTTCAGATTTAAACATCGTGTGGTTGAGAACCAATACCACTACAACATCCTACTTGCTGTAGAAAAACATTGTGAAAGAGTTTTTACAAAGCCGTTCAGAGGTAAACACCGACAATCGGCTCGAACAGTTAAAGAGTTAGCACTCAGTTTCTCACTCTGCTCTGAAAGTACGAGTACGCTAAAAACATAAACATTCCATTTAACTCCCTAAATTGCCTAGGCTAACCACGTTTGTGTGACTGTGGCAATAAGATGCGCTGGAAAAATTAATTTCGAGCACTCGTTTATA